CCCAAACCCAAACCCAAACCCAAACCCAAACCCACATAATGTGACTGCTGAATTAAACCTACTAGTGGGCAAACCCAAACCCGTAAAAGTTGTTATAAACAATGAAGAACAGCTTAATAAAGAAAAGGAGCAAACTTTATAATAAAGGATTTTTTTGTTCTGCCATCAATATCAATAAAAATAGAAACTATTTTAATAAAATTATACTTTCAAGCTATTGTTATTTTAACTTAAGAAGTTCTCCTTTACGAATTTGCCTTATTAAAATTCAAGCCATCAAAATCAAAATTAAAATGCAAATACCTGTTGAGACCGATGATCTATAATCATTTTTCGTATTTTACACCAAAAATAAGAGCAATTTAAATAATAAGTCCCTAGAATGAAAAATAGTTATGATGCATTAAGTCTCAGCTATACTATCCATGAAATTAATTAATTTCTATACCCATTTAAAAGAGGGTAGATTCTTTTTTGAATCTTTTTATACATGCCTTCCATATTTAAAGGTTGAAAAGGAGGATCCAAATTACATATCTCCTATAAAATAAATCCTAATGATTAGATATCTGATTTATTATTATATGATTCATCTTCTAAATTTCAGGTGATGCATCGTTTCAATTTACTTTAAATAAAATTACATGGAATGGAGTGTCTGTTTAAATGTATGACATCTCTATCTCTATAAAATCTTAATTTTTCATGTGATTCTTTCATACTATGCGTAATCTATATCAAAAGCTTACCAAATTTCTTATTTTTGGAGCTTTTATAATTTGTGCTATTTGTTAGTGATTTATTTTGCCACATTCCCCTCTCAGTATATTCATTAATAATTCCTTCAGTTTAGTTTTCTATGATATGGAGATATGCACTACCTTCAATATAAAAGTGTTTTTTTTTATCCTATAATGAATTCTTAATTTAGGAAGCTAATAGTTTCATATCATTAGAGGATTCTATTTTTATTAAAAAAATAATTGAATTATTGTATATCTTATTTTGAGGCAGATCTAGAAATAGTACAGAATCCTTAATCTTAATAAGCAATAAGTTTTTCATAAAAAGTATTTCTTAATAAAAATATCTTAATTTTAATAGAAAATGGAAGAGTATCAATGTAGATATGTAAATCATGAAAAAGAAGAAATCATTGGCTTCTGTATGAATAAATTATGTCAGGAAATACCATAATATTGTTAGGAATGCCTAATATTTAGGCATTAAGACCATAAAGAAGATTGTCTTAATTTCTCTATTTTGTCAGAGTAAATAAATAAAAATATAATGAATCTGAAATCATAAAGTTAATAATTATTTGAAGCTAATAATAAATTAGGGTTTATGTTTGAAATCTTTTTCAAATAGATGGATACTTAAATTTTAAAACTGTATGATATAGATAAATAATTAAGTAATAAAGAATATTTATCATTTAAATAATAATTAACATATCTTCAATAGTTCCATTCAGGTGAGAATGCTAACAAATATAGTAAAACATTTATAAATATTATTTAGGTACATTATTAGATTTATAGAATTAAATTTTAAAAGTTATGGAAAATATTGTAAAGCAGAATGATCAAAAGGAAATCAAACATAAAGAATAAGAAACAGAAACCAATTAGATATAAAAAAAGACTGAAAACTTTGAGATATTAAATAACGATTAGGAAATTATTTAGAGTTAAGTTATTTTTGAGAATGGTAAAGAATTATGAAATTAAGCAGGCAAACAATTAACTTACGAGGAAAAGTACTAAGATGCATTAAAATTATTCGATAAAGCTTTAATGAAAGATCCAAAAAATGAAGAAATATAAATATGGAAAGGTATAAATCATTATTTATTATTAAAGGATAAGTCTTAATTTATTTAGAAAGATTTTAAGAAGCCAATTTATCCTATGATTAAAGTCTTTAATTAAATTAAAAAAGTTTTTTAATACTGAATAATAAAGGTAATTATGCTTAAAAGGAAATATTATAGGAACAGTGTTAAATGATTTAAAAAAATATTAAGAAGCTATTTAATGCTACGATGAAGCCATTAAACTCAATCCATATGATAGCAAAGTATTTTGTAATAAAGGTATTTATAATGTGTAGATTTTTCAATAGGATTGGCATTAAAAAATCTAAAATAATATGAAGAATCTATATAATGTTATGATAAATCTATTTAGTTAAATATAAAAAATGATACAGCTTTCAACAATAAAGGTATTAATAATTTTTAATTTTAGGAACAACTTTAGTAAGTTTGAAAAGATTTTAAGAAGCTATCGAATGTTTTGATAAAGCTATTTAATTAAATCCATTAAATGACTCAGCTTTAAACAATATGGGTATTTATTGTTGAATTAATTTTATTTTTAGGATTAGCATTAATATAACTCAGCAGATATGATGAAGCTCTCAAAAATATCGAAAAAGCACTATAATTAAATCAAAAAAGTCATATAGCATTAGAAAACAAAGGTTATTTTAGATAATAATTAATTTCAATAGGAAGTGTATTACACTAATTGTAAAGATACTAATAAGCAATCGAATGTTATGATAAAGCCATCCTACTAAATCCAAACAGTGATTAAGCATATTTAAAAAAAGGTATTTGTTTCTCAAATATATATTTAAAAGGAGTAACCTTAATTAGCTTAAAAAAATATTCAGAAGCAATAGAATATATTGATAAATCTATTCAACTGAATCCAAAGAATGATTAAGCATTATGTTCAAAAGGTATTTCATAGTTTTATGGATTATATAAGGATAAGCGTTATAAGGCTCATTAAGATATTAGGAGGCTATTTAATGCTATGATTTAGCTATTTAATTTAATCCAAATGATGAATTTATAATAATCTCTAAAGGTTTTATATATATTAGATTATTTATTAGGTTAAGCATTAGGAAAGTAATAAAAATACGAAAAAGCAATTTAATGTTTTGATAAAGCAATTTAGTTAAATTAAAATAATTTTGAAATACTTGAATAAAAAGGTATAAATATATTTAAAATTAATCTAAATAGGATGCATGTTAATTGAATTCAGAAAATATTAAGAAGCAATTGATTGTTTTAATAAAGCAATTAAATTAAATCCTAAATCAGAAAATGCATTGTGCAATAAAGGTATTTATTTAACATTTTAACAATAAAGGAGCAGCATTAATAAATTTATAAAAAAATTAAGAAGCTATAAAATGTTTAGATGAAGCAATCAAATTAAATCCTTAGAATGCTTCAGCTTTAAACAACAAAGGTATATATTATAATAATTTTTACAGGATCAGCATTAAATAATTTAAGAAGATACAATGAAGCTATTGAATATTGCGATAAAGCTATTAAAATAGATCCTAAGAAAGACATGGCATATTTAAACAAAGGTATAATTATAATAACAATAATAAAGGATTAGCGTTACTATATAAAGACAACATTAAATAGGCCATTGAATATTTCGATAAAGCACTTCAATTGAATCCCAAAAATGATTTAGCGTTTTACAATAAAGGTTCTTTTTAATTTTATTATTTTTATTTAGGATCAGCATTATTGAATTAGCAAAAATATGCAGAAGCAATAGAATGTTTTGATAAATCAATTCAATATAATCCATAAGATGATAGTGTATATCATAACAAGGGTATTAATTATATTCAAATTTTTAATTAAGGAGAAGCATTAATTAATTTAGGAAAATATAAAGAAGCCATTAATTGTTTTGATAAATCAATTGAATTAAATCCAAATGATTTTTCTGGATACGACTCTAAAGGCATTTATTAAATTTAACTTTCTTAAAATAGGTATGGCATTATTCAATCAGCAAAAATTTAAGGAAGCTATTGAATGCTTTGATAAAGCAACTAAATTGAATCCAATAGTAGGCTTTAGATTTGATATGATTAGTATCTATAAAAATAAAGATATTTATTAGCTTAAGCATTATTTAATTAATAGCAATATAAAGAAGCTATTATTTGCTGTGATAAATCAATTTAATTAAACTAAAACAACGATTTAGCTTTTGCAAACAAAGGTAAACTATTATTATTAATGACTTCGTCATAGCATCAGCATTATTTAGTTTATAAAAATATAAGGAAGCACTTGAATATTCAGACAAAGCCATTAAGATAAATCCATAAAATGATATTGCATTTGGAACTAAAGGTATTAAAATTATATCAATTTAGGATTGACTTTAACAAAACTATAAAGATATTAAGAAGCTCTTTAGTGTTTTGATTAGGAAATAAAATTATAACCAAAATTTTAAACATTTACTGATAAAGGTATTTTATTATAAAGACTATTTAATAGCAAATACTTTACTTCAATTATAAAGATTTTAAGAAGCAATTGAATGTTGTGATAAAGCTATTTAATTAGCTCCAAATTGTGATTAGGCATTTTTCTATAAAGGTAATATTATTTTTATGTAAATTTTAGCTATTGCTTTATCAAGCCAAAAAAAATACTAAGATGCCATAAAATGCTATGATGAGGCATATTAAAGAGGTAAGCATCCGATGATTTTGCTCAATAAAGGTGTATGCTTTTCAATTTACAATAGCTTTTGTACTAGTTGATATGAACAAAAGAGAAGAAGCAAAAATAATTTTCAAGTAGATTTTAGATACAAATTTCCAAGATAAGGAGTATATTAGAGGATTAATAAAAACATTATGAATAGATATATTTAGGATATTAAATTAAAAAATATTAATTTATTTAAGTTTATTAAACTTCTTCTTAGAATAAATCTAAATTTTTATATGCTTAAATTGCTCTAGAATCATAGAATGGTTCTAGGCCTCTTTCTTTGATCTTTCAAATATTCTTCTATATTTTAAGAATAGATGTCTAAACTCTTTACTACATTTGGTTTGTATTTTAGTAATTTTTATAAAGATTACTTCTACTTTTCATCCTTTTTGCAAAGATTAGGAAATTAATTTAGTGATTTTATTGATTCTTAAAGCATTATCCACTCTATTTTATATACTATAAAATTATAAAATAATATCAAATGTTATTAAGTAATATTCAAATAACTTAATTTCATTTTATATTAATCTATACATACTTTTTTTATGTATCTCAATATTTAACTAATAATTGATTTTCATTCTTCTTCGCTTCAATAAATTTAATTTTGAGATGATTAAATTTAGAAATAATAATGAACATTCTTATATTTTGAAATAATTTAAAAATATATACTGTATAAGCAATATGAACTTAAATACAACAATATTTTGGTATGATAAATAATAAATTTTTTCATAATTGGACAATTAATTAAATTCAAATTAATTAACAGATTATTAAGCTTCTGGGTTGAGATCATTTATACTTGTTGTCTATTACTCTTGACTATTGTTATTTATTATGATTCAACTATAATGTCTCTTAAATTCTTTGTTTATTGCAACTATATTATTTTCTCAGAATTTGTTTCTAAATATTTCAATATTATTATAGTATGCTTTATAAACAATATCCAATAAGCGATTATTCTTCATAATCAATTTCTTTATTTGCCACTTCATCGCTATATTATTAAATTATTGAATCTTTTATCTCCTCAAGATTAAAACTTACACTTTCTATCAAATTAAATGCTCCAAGTGATACTTCTATTCTAATTTGATGGAGTAAATGCAAATGTTTATAAAATTAAGGATAAATTATCCATTCTTGATCTGAATTTTTTTTCTTTATATTATTCCACCAGGTATAAATAATTTTAACAGCTCCAAGATAATAATGTAAATGCCAGAAAAAAGATCTATAGAATAAATATTCATTATACTTATTTTCCTATTTTAAAGCATTTTCTTTTTATTCTATAATAAAACCATCCAATTAATCTCTATCTAATATTTTATTATTTATAATCTATTATTAATCTTTTTATGTCTATTATTATATATCTTTTTATGTTAATTATGTTATCTATTTATTAATAAAAATTAAATTGCCTTATGAAAAATTAAATCGTTGTAAATCTTTTGGTGAGAGGTTTTTTGAAAGTTCTTGAGCTTTTTATAAATATTATTTGGAGAAAGAAAGCTATTTCTAAGTATAATATACTAATCCTAATAACAAATGTTAGAAGGGATTTTTGGTTTAATTTTATATTGCACAAGAGTAATCATTAATAGCATCATTATTCTTTTCCATTTTGTAATAAACAATTCCTAATGAGAAGATTTTTATATTTTACCTCGACCGATATATACATCATCATTTTATTGGTTATACTATATTGCTTTTGTGTAAGATNGCAATATGAACTTAAATACAACAATATTTTGGTATGATAAATAATAAATTTTTTCATAATTGGACAATTAATTAAATTCAAATTAATTAACAGATTATTAAGCTTCTGGGTTGAGATCATTTATACTTGTTGTCTATTACTCTTGACTATTGTTATTTATTATGATTCAACTATAATGTCTCTTAAATTCTTTGTTTATTGCAACTATATTATTTTCTCAGAATTTGTTTCTAAATATTTCAATATTATTATAGTATGCTTTATAAACAATATCCAATAAGCGATTATTCTTCATAATCAATTTCTTTATTTGCCACTTCATCGCTATATTATTAAATTATTGAATCTTTTATCTCCTCAAGATTAAAACTTACACTTTCTATCAAATTAAATGCTCCAAGTGATACTTCTATTCTAATTTGATGGAGTAAATGCAAATGTTTATAAAATTAAGGATAAATTATCCATTCTTGATCTGAATTTTTTTTCTTTATATTATTCCACCAGGTATAAATAATTTTAACAGCTCCAAGATAATAATGTAAATGCCAGAAAAAAGATCTATAGAATAAATATTCATTATACTTATTTTCCTATTTTAAAGCATTTTCTTTTTATTCTATAATAAAACCATCCAATTAATCTCTATCTAATATTTTATTATTTATAATCTATTATTAATCTTTTTATGTCTATTATTATATATCTTTTTATGTTAATTATGTTATCTATTTATTAATAAAAATTAAATTGCCTTATGAAAAATTAAATCGTTGTAAATCTTTTGGTGAGAGGTTTTTTGAAAGTTCTTGAGCTTTTTATAAATATTATTTGGAGAAAGAAAGCTATTTCTAAGTATAATATACTAATCCTAATAACAAATGTTAGAAGGGATTTTTGGTTTAATTTTATATTGCACAAGAGTAATCATTAATAGCATCATTATTCTTTTCCATTTTGTAATAAACAATTCCTAATGAGAAGATTTTTATATTTTACCTCGACCGATATATACATCATCATTTTATTGGTTATACTATATTGCTTTTGTGTAAGATTTAATTGCTTCCTCTTAATTTCTTTATTCTTCAAATTTATTGGTGATATTTTGTCATAATACCTTTATTAAAATGGTATCTTATTTTTATAGATTCTTATCTTATTATAACATTTTTTGTTTGCTTTTTTAATTGCTTATATTATTATTAGATATCCAAATATATATTGGAATTAAAGATTAGCTTATTTGCAAATATGGCTTCATCTAGAATACATGCATAACATAAAATGAAAAAAGAGAATAAATTGTAATAATACTTAAAGTTTAGTTATAAGGTATTGACTGTACATAAAAAAAAAAGAATCTAAACAAAATCAGAATAACTTTAGATTAAGGAGAAAGGACAGAATGAGTCAAAATAAAATTTCCTCCTTAAAGAATAAAGAAAATCTTTGTTTGATATGTATATAAATTCTTATAATATAATTTTCCTTTTTGCCTCATAGTATTGATGAAAAAGGTTAAGTATGTTCAATAGAATAAAACCTATAAATGTTTAAAAAATAGATGCATATAGGAATGAAAATTAAGATGCAAATATTTTTAGATTTTAATCTTTTTATAAAGGCTTTTAAAAAATCAATAATCGAAATTTAATTTATCATAATTACATAATAATATATTTTATTATGAAATGATTGTAAGTACTCTCTACATACATAATTCTAAATCTTAATTTAAAATTAAACAAGTTTCATCTACTATTTCCTCATTAAATATCATATATTTTTTTTTTCATTCTTAGGTTTCTCATTATCATTCAATTTTTATTAATCTCCTTTTAAAATCTTTATGAATTCTCTAATAAACATTCCACCCATTATTCATATTATTCTTTTGAAGACTATTCTTCCTCATTAAATCTTTCGCTATCTTTAACACAATTTGCTGGTGAAATATAAAAATATTCTCCTAACTTATGATTTCGATATTTAACAAAAAATTACAAAATTATTGATATACTATTTAATAAATAATGCAATTGCCCATATCTTATTGATACTTTTATTATAACTAATAAAGCAAAAATATACACAAATTCTTTATTATTTTATATATTATCTCTGAAATAAATCCTCTTCAATTCAATTTTAAGGGTTTGTAAAAATATTTAATTAAATCAAAATCTAATATTTTTAGAAATTTCTATTCTTATTTAAAAAAAATTATATTAATGAATTTTTTTAATAGCTACCTTGATTTAAATAAACTTTTATAACATCTCATTTCTATTGGGATATGAATTATATATAAATGTTCCAATATTTTAATATTTATTGCTTATCTAAATAGTAAAGGTGTTAATAACATAGATTCCCTTATTAGCCTATTTTCTTTATGTAATAAGTGTAAAGATTTGTAAATATTTTTAAAAAGCTTCGTTGAAACTCTACTTCAAAGAAAGAATTATATTAATAGCATTAACAAAATGATTAGAATCATAATTTGTTATTTTGGAATAGTATGATAATTGGCTATTTTACAAGAGAATGTTATTTATTGGAAGAAAGCAATTGATAGTTTTATGAGAGCATGAATTTGATGATACATATATCCAAGCTTTGGTTCTATTTAACTTTTTTGTTTTGATTAGATTTAGATATTAATTTTTGGAGGTAGAGTCTCGATAATTTAATTATGACATCTTAAATCATTTTTGGTAAGAGAACGCAATCTTTAAATAAGGAAATCTTAATCAGTAATTTGTTAAATATATATACTCTCTGCAACACCATAAAACCATGTTGAAATATCAATTTCTTTTTAATCTTTATTTGATTTCTTTAGTTCCTCTTATTAATTTTTAAAGTAATATAATCTTTTGTTAATCTTAGATAATAAAAAAATTAGCATAAACACTTGAAAGCAAATGTGAATAATCTATAATTTTTGCAAGAGGAACTGATTAATTCGAATATTTGCCAGACAGATATATCCTATAGTTCCGTATAAATTATTAATTAAAAAGGGAAATCAAAAGAGAATAAATTAAATACACTTTTTCATATAAACATAGATCAGAATATAATCGCGAAAGCTAAACTTAATTCTTAGAGATTTTTCTTTATAAATTAAGTACGGAAATAAGAAATTTAAAATTATTGATATAATATTCATAAATGTTAAACAACCTTACATAATATTAAACAAAAGAAGACTAAGTGATGATTTAATCTTCTTAAAAGAAAGGATAGAGAATGCATACAGACATGATTTAATGCAATAAGGCATTCAATTCTTTAATAGTGATTCACGAAGAGATTGAGAATAAAAAATAAGAAATTTAGTATATGGAAAATCAGTCTACAATTACGTTATTGGATGCAAAAGGAAAAGTAAATGGGATTCTTTAGATATAAATATACATAATATATTTTTAATAAGCTTCTCGCCTTGATAATAGATCTGATCATAGATATTATGATATGAACTAATTACCTCTTCCTGAATTAAAAATTGCTTGTGTTTAAATAATGGTTGATAATCGTAAGCATTAAAGTAATAAGAGATGATAAAGGATTTTATATAAATAAATTAATGCAACTACGTAATATCTGTCTTCATTCCATAATTTAAGGATGAAGTTACTTCTAAAATGAGAACGGTGAACTTTTTTCTAAAAAAATTGAGTAACACATCAGCTCTTAATATTTTCATAATTTACCATGATGCTTAACATTTTTGAAAACTATTTCATTACATAAAATATGACTTTTGTAGAAAAGATGGAGAAACTGAGATATAATAAATTTGAAATGTGTTGTTAAATTTACTTTAACCAGAAAGAAAAAAGTTCATTTTCCTACATTCAACTAGAGCAGGTGATCTGAGTATAAATTTGGCTACTGCCTCTCCCTTTTATTATATACAGTGATTTGTTTATAATTAATTATTTTAATAATTGCGATACTATTAACAATTATATACTTCTGATTCCAATATAGATAGGAAGCACATATAATAGGATAAAATAATAGGGTGATGGTTTATAGAATGACTTGTGAACATAAAGATAATATATTGAATTATGTTGGAATTCTCTCATAATTTAATAAGGTCGTTGTCATAGAAATAAATTGCAAGTTAATCACTCATAGAACCTTATATATATAAAGATGATATTAAAGATAAGATATTGATATCTTAACTTAAAAAAGGCGAGCAATTAAACATAGTAGATGAATTAGAGAATTTAAAGAAGTTTGAAATTTTTAAAGATAAATGTAATCTCTTGAACTTGGATTGGGATAATACTTTTGATTATTTCAATGAATAAAAATAAAATAAATTAGATGAAGATGTATTAGCTTATAGTCTTTTAGAAGACAATCAAACTAGAAATAGAAACAAATGTACTATAATTCTAATTCCAAAATAAATATAATTAAAATAAATCAAATTATAAGAACATCATTTTTATGAACTATCTATTATAAAAAGAAGAAGATTATTTTGATAAATAGAAATAGCAAAACAAAGGAAATGATAATGAAGAAAATGTTGATTTTTTTGGATTTACTTAAGAAGTAAGATAAGAATTAAAATAATTACTTGAAATTGGATTTAAAGATTGGAATAAAAAAGAATTTTTTGATTCATTACTGCTAATGAAAAGTATTGTTAAAATATAGAGAAAATTAAAACTAAAACTTCTGATGTAGGAAAAGCTCTAAGGGAAAGAATTGATGGCTTTTGTAAAAAGATAAAATTGTTAAATAGATTGAAAGAGGATAAAAATAAATGAATAGAAAATTAATCCCTATAAAGAAATTGAAGAAAAATGTAAACATTAGCATTAACTAAAATATGAACTTGTTTTGAATAGTTATTAAATAGTTGATGTTAATTTTTCTATAAACGATTAGGGTGTTATCTTTGATAGTTTTAACTACTATTTTAATGATTAATTAAACATTTATTTTATTTATTTTTAACTGTTTTGCTTTACAAGTTTATTATTGATTAAATATAAGTAAAATAATATTTACTATATAGTATCCATAATAAAAATTAATTAGAGATTATAAAGAATTCATATATAAAAGAATTTCATTCTTTTATATATTTATTATACATGAATATTAATCGACCCTTTGCCATCAATAATTACTCCTAAATACTTATGTCACTAAACCATCAGAATATTTAAGAAATATTCTTAAATTTTCTAGTTTATAAAATTTTATAATAATGTCATAAATTTGAAATAGAATTATGAATCAATGAAAAGAGATTTATGATTTAATATTGAGAATAATTTTATTATAATCAATATATAAAAATTATATATAAAATATTAAATACTGAAATAATGTAGAACATTTAGAAGTTTTCTCAATATGAATGGTCCTCTGATAGTCCTCATAAGAAGTTTTTTAACTTGCTTATAGAGTTATAAATTGTTGGATTCCTTTCATATCCCGAAACCTTTCTAGATATTTGTTAGAATATTAAGAAAAGATACTACAGAGAAGGGAAGGATTGTATATACTGAAATTGAAGAATAAACATATTAACAGAAGTTAACTCCACTAGAGCCAATATAATGGAAGATAGCTCTAGATGAAGAGAAACATAAAGATTTATAGCAAAGAGTAGATGAGGTTTAATTGAAATCAACCAAGATCCTAACAGCCTTTTAAAAGTTGAAAATGGAGGATAGAGAAAAATTTAGGTTGGATTGTGAAGCTGCTACTGATCTAGTGACTTAACCATGGGTATAGGAAATATAGTAAAGAAAGAAATGGAATGTTAAAGAAATAATTGATATAAATACTTTTATTCAATTAAAGTAAATGTAGCTAAAGGATTAAATGCAACTTAGAAAAGAGAAAACCAATGCCATAAATTGTTAGAAAGAAAAGGAAGCCACTATGATAGAAATTAAATATAATAATATAATAAATATAATTAATCATAAATCATTTAATTACTTATATTTTAATAATTTTTTAGAATATGTTGATTTGTTTTAATTAAAATGTTAAGGTTTTAATAAATTAAAAAGTACTGATAATTTAAATTTATTTGTATAATTAAGTTATATAATTGATAATTAAGAGTGTAAGGTAAGTACAATTATGGAAAATAATCAAATTATATTAGATTCTATATATAATATATTTAAATTATTTTAAATTAATATGAAGAATAGCAAAATCAATTTTCACCAGTTTCCAATTCAGAAGCTAACTAAAAGATTGGTTTGAATTGAGAAAAATTTGAAATAGTGTCATTCGAATTACATCATATGATTTCATCTTAAAGTAAGGAATTTCCATTACTTTCTTATTCAGAGTCCTATAATTTTAATATATATAATAAATTACTGAATCATCATTTGAATCATATAATTTGTCATTTAGTTAAATAAAAACTTTTCTTGTACTTTCTAAAATATTTATTTAATTTAAATTAAGTATCTGAAATTTTCTTTTTATATTATAAATGTTAAAACAATAACTAATTTTTATGTTTATATAGATATCACCATATCTAAAAATATCGATTTTCACCGCATTCCCAAAATGAATTACAAACCATAAGTGATTATTAATTTGAATTCAACTAATTAATCTAGAAATAGATATATTATATACTTAATTCAACTTCTAAAGCATAATCACTATACCAAATAGGATAAATTTCATTATTAGTTATTAATTTAAATCCTGGATTCCAATTCCTTAATTATGGATTGTTTCCAACAATTCTCACCATTTTACTAAGTTCTGTTGAACATTTCACTCGAAATAACACTTAAGCTTTCATTTAACAATATTTATTATTATAGATAAACTTAAATCATTATCTATTAGTTTTTGTATTGTTTCATATTAAAAATGTGAATCTATTTCCTCATCTTCAATCTATATCTTATCTTAATAGATCACTAATATCAATTGAATATTCTCCTAAATATAATATTAATAAAATGAGGTTTTTAAACAAATTATTCTATTGTTGTTATTATTTTCACAACTACTCTAGCTATGACTAAATTTTAGAATTTAAAAAAACTTGGGTATGAATATTTTTGTTGATCAATATTTGACAAAAGAATCCAATGAAATGGAAAAATTCTAGATATTTAAAAGGATTAGCTTAACCGTTATAATTCTCTGTAGTTCAACTACCTTATTAGGTCCACTAAAATTTTAATTGCTGATTTAGGCAATTTTAATATCTAGAGTTACAAAATTTGTCTAACAGATATAAAAATTTTGGAAATATTAAATAACATTCAAATATGAATTTTAGTGAATGCAATGTAAAGTTTTTAACTTTTAATTTCATCCAATTTATTGATTTATTGATTAAATAGTAGATGGAGTATAATATTTCTAACAATTTTATGTAAATTAACTTTTTATTCATTTACATTGTTTTCTGAGTTATTTATAGGTTTCAGCTTTTCAGAAATTTAAAATTATTTTCTAAATCGAGTGACTATAGCTTCTTCTTTTTTTCTAGTATAATCGATACAATTATTTAGAGATTGTATTTAAAAAGATACGCAAATAATTGTAAAAAGAATTCTATTTAGAATTTGCTTTAGATTGTATTATTGAATTTGGTCATCTTATTAACGGATGTAATTCTAATGAGTAAAACAAAATCGATATAGATGAACAACTTAATTTTATATTATTTTTTTAGGTGAATTAGAAAATTCAATTTTAAGATGAACCTAAATTCACTATTCTTAAGATTATTTAATAGATTAAAATAATTTAAGTCATTAAATTACATTACTGATATTAATTTGAATTAATTTGAAAATCTATTGAAAATAGTAACTAAATTTATAAAAATAGAGTAATTCCCTATTAGAAGTGTATTTGTATTATAATTAAATAAGAAATAAAGATAGAATTGTATTCATTAGGGTGTTTTAAAAAATTAATATATGAAAGTGATTAAATTAGTATAGCAGAAGGAATGTGTTTAGATGATATCTGAGTAAATTTTTTTATCTATAAAGAATCTTATATATGCCAAATTCAGAATTATTTCATTTCGATTTATCATATTGAAATTTCAATTATGAAGATCCTAAAACATTATATAAAGTTTTAATGTTTATAGAATATATGGCTTTGGTTTAAGAAATTAATGAAAACAAAATTTTATGGTAGAAAAATTTGTTTTTTTTGAATTGAGGATTAAGCATTTTTGAAATTATATTCTTGTAGAATTTCAGAATATATAATGATAACGATAGTATCAAGTAATAATGGGGATTGTGAGATTTTATATGATTTATAAATGTTTACTATAATTGAAAATTTGTAAGAGCAGCATAAATAGAATAAATTTAATTATTTTGTCTATGTTTTTTGTGTTTTAATTAATAACTAAAAATCAGTTTGCTTCCACAATTGATTTTCTTTTCTTTCTTAATAATAACCCGTACTATTTAATTATCTATCTTATTTAATTTTAAATATATATTAAGTCATCATTCATATTGTCTACACAGTTTTTCCCAAATCTTGATGATGAATATACTAAGATGATAATTTTATCTAATGTTTTTAATCATTCAATGCATTTAGAATGCCAAGTGGAAATGTAATCTCTCAGATGATTTTCATTCATCCATTTTTTAGAGTGTGCTCTACACATCATATTTGAAAATCTCTACTGGTTTAAATCTCCATTATTATATTTCAATTTATCTTGTCCTTTAAGAATCTCAATATCCTTTTATCCATACTCTTCTATTCTCTTCTTAAGCATCTTTTTCATTCCCTCAATCCATAGTCTGAATATTCTTAGCTCTGAAGGATATGGTTCTCTAAGTAATTTCATATTTTCCAGATGCGATGATACTCATCGATATCTATCCTCTACTTTAGGATTTTCAGCAATCTACTTAAACATTTCAAGGTCCTACTACCCCCAAAGCTTTCTTGTTTAAATTTTGATTTTTGTATTCTTGTTATATAGATTTTATCAAAACCCTTCCGCATCTAATTATTCATTAATATTATGTTTATATAACTTAATATTATATACGTACCATGTATTTAATCGCTAATACTTTTTACTTATGCTTCTGAATATTGATTACTTATAGGGAAAGTGATCAAGTACTATTTAGTTTATTCAATTTTGAATGGTGAATGTGCTTATGATTAATCCCTATGAAATGCAATATATAAATATTTTATTTAAACATCATTTGTTAAACTATTTTTTTATTTAAATCAAAAGTTTATGATGGTTATTATATAAGTATAAATGATTGAAAGGGAAAATCAATCAAAAGTAAATAGTGAACCACCAGAACCAGAAAAAACTGAATAAACATTTTTAACAACATTGAAAGTAAAAATCTAATAAACACCAAACAAATTAAGAAATTATGTTGCTTATGTAAAAAAATATCTTCATCTATAATATTTGTTATTTATTTATAAATTATATTAATACTTGTCTATTTATTATATTCTTAATTATAAGAAGAGAAATCTTTATATTATTAAATATAATTAATTTTATATAATTAACCTTAACACTCAAGTTGGTCCTAAATGTACTCTATAAGTATGAAGTTATTAGAATTAAAAATAATTGTTATATTTTCATTAAACTAGACTAACGACATTATCACACTCTCAAATGAATTATAATGATGTTGTTTACGAATTCTAATAACAAGCTAATTTAAACCTAAATTAAATTATTTATTGAAATCATTCAATCTCCAAATGTTTTATGCTTTATTTTTATTTTTTAAAGTCTGAGCATACTTAACAATTTTCTCAAATGTATAGCTTTGCTAGAAAGAAATGAAGTTTTATGATTATGTAATTTGTTAGAATCAATTTTTTTGTTTCATTTAACAATTTACTTTTAAGATTCAGAAATAAAAAGTCTAAGCTGCAAATACTTTATACTATTATAAGTTTTATTGATAAAATATTGTATATTATTAACTATATTTTCTTAATAATTACTTATCAAATTGATCCATCCATGAATTATATTTCTGATGGTATAGATATTTATATCTGTTTATTTTAGTAGGTAAAAACTTTGTGACAAGATTAAAGAAATGATGATAATAAATTTAATAATTATTATATAAGTTATTATTTTTAAAATTAATGGCGGAGTGAAGTACTTATCATTGAACATAGAGAATTATCTAAGCTAACTTTCATGGTCCTAAATATTTCTGCATCATCTATGAGACTCTAACTTAATTACAATGATTTTCGGTACTATTATAATATTAACTTTAGAATCTATTCTTTAAATTTAGTTGATTTATTTAAGTAATGATAATTTGAATAATCATAAAAGTATTCAATTTTCTTAAGTCATCAATCTTTATAAAATATCTATACTTTTTCATCTGATATAATTATTCCAGTAATTCTATTGGTAATCTATTTAAATCAAACTATGGCTAATTTTTGTTATTGTACTTATTATTATACCAAACTTATAATTCTTCTTATGTAGAAATAAGATTAGTATTCTCGATTTTTACTAATACTTGTTATATACTAATATACAATCTACAATGGAAATGGATTGAGAAGCAATAGCATAATCTGTTTTATTATTTTTGGAACTTTGATTTAAAATTATTGTGCCAGACCGGTAGTTATTAATAAAAGTTTAAAATGGTAGACAAAGGAGGTTCTGTTTTAGCTTTAAACTATATTAATCAATAAGACTTTCTTGAAATCTAAATAATTATATTTATGATAAAGATTATAAGTAACTATGTTTAACTTTACAGTGTCATAATTTTCCTTACACATTTTATTAATTTGAACACCAATAGGATTTGCAAAATAGATATTATTTCTTTTATTATATATGATGATGTTCTTAATACATAGAGGTATTGAAAAAAATATTATGATTAGTTAATTCTCTTAAAACTCATAGTGAAATTAATAAGGATATTATTTTATTAAATTCAGCTTTAGATAGTCATTTGGTTATAGGATATCAGTATTAATAATATATTATTCTCCAGCTGTTCATAATTAATATATTATATCATTTATGAATAATATCGACTCTCAGACCAATGATTATTTTATGTTAATGAAATCATATGCGAATTAGTACCACATAATTATTTCTACAATATTAAACATGCTTTTAGTATCTGGTATATGTTTTATGTATATATATCAGTGTTAATATTGTAATTATAATCATATTAAGTAGACATAAAACAAACAAGGATGATAATTTTTTGGAACACAGCAAAGTCGAATGAGAGAATTTATCATTATTAGACTGATATTTCCTAAGGTTGTTTCTTATTATTCTTACTTAAATGCTCTTCCTTAAGTTAAGTGTTAAGAAGAGCTAGCTCTACAGACATTATATAAAAGTTGAAGAACCTCAATTCACATTTCATTATTGTTTAAAGTGTAATCTATTATGTTTTTACTAAGAATTTACAAAATCGGGAGATTAAGTGTTACCTCTTCCAATAAGCAAGTTATAGAAAACAGGTTGGTTGCATCATCGACCTAATAAAGCAACTTATGTGAAGTTTAACTATGTTGTTTATTGTATTGGCCACCATACCTAATCTTTAAACTGTAGAATCCTTGATTTGAAAACTTAAAGAATCATTAAACTTCTCAAATG